GGAGGGAGGGAAGGAGAGAGGGAGGGAGGGAGGGAGGGAGGGAGGGAGGGAGGGAGGGGGGAGGGAGGGAGGGAGAGAGGGAGAGAGAGGGAGAGAGAGAGAGAGAGAGAGAGAGAGAGAGAGAGAGAGAGAGAGGGAGAGAACACGGCGTGTGAACGGCGCTACCTCCTCTAGATGTCAGCACTGACTGGAGAGTAGGCTGTCTCCTGGAGAGCCCTTGCCTCTCCCCAGCTGGAGACCACTGGGAGACCACCAAGTCTCTGTTTCCTGAATTCATGAAAATCTCTTACACCCGAAGTGGTGCTCACCGGCACATTTGAGCTTCGGAAGTTCCAGAATTTCACAGAGGAAGTTATATGAGATTACAACACTTTGCTCTAGGTTAAACATGAATTAAGCTTTTGACACATCTTTTCCCCCAGAGCCTGGTAGAAGGATATGACACAAAATGTGATTTACTCGTGCTCGGTTACACAGCAGGAACAAAGCACTCTTGTGTACAGCTTGAGATGACTGTATTTCAACAGTGTACTTACACAGACGTAAATAAATCTTCATCTAGAACTATCTATGAGTATGTAACTAACAGAGAAGCACCCCCTTCCCCGCGCACGCGTGAACACACACACACACCTTAATTTCTCCAGTCCTAATGACTAAAGTTCCCCAAACTGTTAAATCTCCACTGATGACATCGCTCAGGGACCGCTGTTCTCTAGCAGGTGGTCACTTCAGCGCAGACATCACTTCCTTCCTCTTGAGAGTTTGGAGAAGGACATCCCAGGGTCACCATCGTGGAAGGGCAGGGCAGTAGGATGAGGCAGGCACCTCACGCGCGCGCGTGTGTCCCCAACCCACTCAGCTCGGGGGCGGGGCGCTATCTTTCTTCCTGATGCGGGGACCCTGAGTTCAGGGAATTTCCCTGGTCCTCGGGCTTTTCCAGCCACCATGCATAAAAGGAGCTCGCGGGACATCAGAGCCCCAGACTGCACCTCAGTGCCTCCAGCAAGCTCCCTCCTGTGCTCCAGACTCGAACCACACCTTAGCCAAGCGTTATGGCCCCTCCCACCTGCCGGTTCCTCCGTGCTGCACTGGTTCTGCTGCTGCTGCTGGCCACCAACCACCAGGCTACAGGTGGGATTCGAGGCTGATGCTCCTGGGGAAGCCTCAGGTGGGCACAGTCATCCCCAGCCCTGCTGACCCAGTGTTTTCTCCTACAGGGGCTGTTGTGGCTAGTGAGCTGCGCTGTCAATGCCTGAAGACTATATCAAGGATTGACTTCAAGAACATCCAGAGCTTGACAGTGACACCCCCGGGACCCCAATGCACCCAGACAGAAGTCATGTGAGTGTCTCCCTGGGTAGCTTCTGCCATGGCCAGAGTTGCCTGGAACCTCCTGCTGCCCCATGCTCATCCCAGTGAAACCTCATGACTTATAATGATCCCCACATCTCTCTGCAGAGCCACTCTCAAGGATGGTAAAGAAGTTTGCCTCAACCCTGAAGCCCCCTTGGTTCAGAGGATCATCCAAAAGATTCTGAACAAGTGAGTCATGATTTGTACTTTCACCTGACTGGAGAGTTGGTCGGAATTCTGGCATCCGATTTCTGAAAATCACAGCAGGGAAAATCAAAGTTTACTCCAGTTCAGGAACCTGGATTATTATTTTCGTTTTTAACTTTGTCTTGTGATCATCAGTTTGAATTGATAGAAGAAGGATATGTACGACCTGTTTCTATCATGTACAATCAAAAAAGTCTTTTGATAATGGATGGTCGCTGTGTGTCCCTAAGAATTAAGTAGAATCGACTATCACTGTTGTAAAGCCTGTTATCTATTAAGATTCGATACTTTACCCCTGTTCTCTCAATGTCTCTAAACTATAAAGTCTAACTCCTGCTTTTGGTCAAGGTGAGCCTTTAAGGCTTCCAGGTGAAGAGCTGGGGTTTGCAGTGAGACCACTTGAAATTCAGGTGTAGGCTCTCCCTCTTATCGTGTCTAAGTGAAACAGTAATAGGTACTGTTCTTGTTTACAACCTATGGGAAGTCATGCCTTGACATTTTTATTCTTGTTATCATTTGGAAAGCTAGTACAGTTATAACCTCAGCTGGACTATTCTAGTTTCAAAGCACCCAGAATGTTTAGTGCTAGAAAGCACAGCCACAGCTTAGGTAACAGGCCTTGTGGGGGGCTAGAGATGATTGCGTTTGAAGAATAAAACAAAGTCCAGGATGAAATCGAAATCAGCCTTTAAAACACCCACTAACAGCAACCATTGTTTCTCATCACAGAGGCAAGGCTAACTGACCTGGAAAGAAGTGTGGGCTGCTGTACCTCAATGGGAAGAACCAAAGAGAAAAGAATCCAACAGCACCCCGGAAGTCTGAATCGTACCTGATGTGCTTCACTGTCTGAGAGTTCATCTATTTATTTATCTATGTATTTATTTATTTATTTCCAATGTCAAGATGTTGTTGTGTTTATTATGATATTTAAAGATATGTGTTTGCTAATTCACTGTAATATCTTAAAAGGTCATTTTAATATGTTAAAGTTTATTTTAATAATGTTTAAATGTTCAATTAAAGTTATTTTACTTATGTAGTTGGAAGGTGATGTATTTTCAAATCTATTTATTCATTAGATTCTGGGGTCGGTGGTGAGTTGGGCACATCACACTCACTGTGATAGAGACTGGGGATAAGGGGTGGGGGAGAGAAACAGATGCAGTCAGATGGCTTTCAAGGCAGGACTGTGTGTGTCCACATCATTTTTTGTAAGAAGAGTAGAACAGCTGTTATTCAGGTTTCTGTATTTCTACACTATGTGTACAACATTTCTGATGCTGAATTTTCAATGTTGTGAGTATCCCTTGGACATTTTATGTCTTCATTGTAAGGCACAGTGCCTTGCTTAGCAATTGCCTTGTCATGCTTTCTCATGTCTTGAAGTAGAGACATTTATTTATTCATGCACTTTTACAAATACAAAAAATAAAAACTTTCATTTAAAAAAATTCTGTGCTTAAGTGTGTTTTGTATATCTGAACACTTCGTTCTCCCACTGTACTGAAGGTGTCAGGAATCCATCTTTCCTGCAGGAAAGCTGCTTGCTGGAGCCTCCTTGTTTCTGTCAAGAAGGCACTTTTGATGCCTTTTCAAAGTCTATGCAGTATTTCTCTGGGAAAGAATCCCTCTTTAACATATTTTTCCACTAGAAACAGCTTGAGGTCCAACACTAGCATAATAGTTTGTGGAATTTTTAAAAAGTACTTTTAAAGCTCTCATTTAAATCATTTTCCAAAGCTTTTATTTGTGTGTGTGTGTGTGTGTGTGTGTGTGTGTGTATGTGTGTGTGTGTCTTGCTTTCCCTCCTAATAAAGTTGATTTGGAACTGCAGTAATGTGGCAAGTCCTTCTGCAGAACTCAATTTATGCAATGAAGGTAATGCTCAGAAAAAAATGAGAGACTGAGGACTTTGTCAGTAAAAGACCACTATGAAGGAGTTCTCTCCTAACATTCAGGGAGAAATGGTTTAATTTCCCAAAATGCAATGCTTTTTCTAATGTCGCTAAGTTTGAATGCTCTCTGAGCATGTCGGTTTTAATGTAAGCTTCCCAGATGGACAGGTGTACACAGAACCTCCAGAACAGAAATAAAGATTGACATATGAGGCAGGGATTGCTGAGCTGTGGAAATACCCTCCAGACCTGAGCAGCAGGAAGAAAGGGTGTTTTTTTGGGGGGGAGAGGAGAGATAGGGGAAGAGAGAGACAGAGACAGAAAGAGGTGATTCACTGGGACCTGTCCCTGGGCCATCAATGCTGGGTGAATGAGGTACAGCATTGAGGTCAGTGGTTGCTGGTAGTCTGCCACTCATTAATAGTATGACTCCTTATGCCGTTTCAGACACCCTTACCACCCCGTCATTCTTCTGCATTTTTTCCTCCTGGACTTCTCTAATTAGAAAATCCATTTCCCCACCCATTTTCCCAGTCAGATCACTTGTACCAAACTAAATTCATCTATTTAGATAAAAATGAGTGGATTTTCTCTTTCTAAGGTAAACAAGGTAATTTGAGCTCTGAGACTACCAAGCGACATGGTCTTTACAATTCTATTAATTTTTCCACTTAGAGAGTTTGGCTTTTTGATGCAGAAAAGGTATGTTAAATGTGGAATAACTGAGACATTTAACAAGATAGCAGAATCAGAACTCATAATTCATTTTTAGTAATTCAGCTAGGTATATGGAAATAGCATATAGCTGTAGCCAAATACAAGTTATTTTTGTATTCTAAATTCCATTGTCCTGACATGCTAAACATAGAGTGGATTTTATTAGATATTGATAGGGTTATAGGAAAGAACATAAAAAGAAAGACTGTTGCAACATGACAAGACTTGCTTTGTACAAACCTGGATAATTCTCAAAGGGGAAAAAATTCTCTAGAAATAGAGAGATGGCTCAGTCAGCAAAGTTTGTACCACACAAGCATGAGAACCTGAGTTCCTGATTCCCTGCACCTATTGGAAAACTGGGCATGCATTGATTTCTGCCCTTCACACACACACACACACACACACACACACACACACACACCTCACACATAAACACACAAACACACAATTTTCTCATTACAGCACTCTTTAAATTAGCTGCAAATATCAATTTCCTATAAAATTTCATAGTTCCTCCTCCAGAGAAGTTCATGACTTTATTAAGAGCTTTATGGCATCCCGTACTTCTTTTCCCTCTCTAATAAAACAAACTGGAAAAAATCTACTTTCTTATGGACTAATGTCTGATAACTCTTTTCTTTCTTTTTCAACAAAGAGGGGTAACACAATACATTGCTCTTGAGAATGTGGTACGTGGTTCATCAGGGCTGCCTGTGGAGAGTCATGGAGCATTCTATGTTGCCTGCTCTTAAACAGTTTATCCTTTTATTATGTCCACTGGACACTTGTAGAAGACAAAGTCTAGCTGGGGAGAGTTCTTGTTTTCTCTTTTTTGAGACATGTCCTTTTTAGACCTAGGCTGGTTCCAACTTTTGATCCCCCATCTCAGCCTCCAAGGCTGAGATTACGGGATTACAAGTCTGAACTACTGTATCTAGAGATAGCTTTTGACTTTGAGTGAAAGAGAAATTGGGAAGTATTAAAATTAAAGCAGGTCATCCAGACAGATTGCCAGGCTCCAAAATCCATGTAGAGTGGAATAACTCCAACTACCTACTAGTTCTGACTACAAGATCTGTTTTTATTTATTTTGTTTGTGTTTGTTTTTGTTTTTTCTTACTAGAAGTGGTGGGTGGTAATATTCCTACAGTTCAATCCAGACTGGTAAATGATTTAAATCATTATATTCAACTAAGATATCATGTCTAATCATATTAATAAAGTTTCACTGGATTGAAGTGATTTTGCTTTTGCTGTGTTGAGTACAGGGTATCTCTATGTTGTAGTCCTACCTGGCCTGGAATTTGCTATGTAGACCTTGCTGGCCTCAAACTCTCAGAGATCCACCTGTCTCTGCCTAAAGCAGTTGTTTTATACTTTCATAACTTGCTATCTTTGTGACATTAAGAACCTTAGGTATGATCAACAGCATTCCATAGTAGCTCTTTGCTGAACAAATATTAATTATTATATTAGCAAATAATTAGACTTTGGTGAATTCTCCATGATCATTTCTCTTAATGTTCAGTTTTTAGTTCAATACTGTGGCCCTGTTACACAGTTTTAAATATTCATTACTGTTAGGCAATGTGACTGTCATCAACTTCATTCAGTTTTGTTGTATTTGTTCCACACAGCCGAAACTTGTGTGAACGAGTACAGTGTCAGCATACTGCAGCCTACAGCTTTTTCCCCCCTCCTGTTTATTGAAAATGTCCAACAGATACCTGGAAGTCTTTAATGTAGCTTGAAAAAAAGTTTAAAAATTGGGAAACACCAGGCTAAAACAAGGACTTCTGACAGTGTTTTCTGAATAGGAACGCTTACGAACTACCTAAAGAGGAACACGGGAGAATACAGGAGAGTGAAGAGAGGGTCTGGTGGAGACCTAGTAAGATGTGACTTAGAAAGCACAGGGTTAATCTGAAGGTGAATGAACATCTGTGGTGTGTTAGCTAGCTTCTTATTGATGTGATAAAACACTAACAAACACAACTCGGGGTTTATTCTGCCTTGCAGTGGGGCTGTTATGGCACAGGAGCTTGAGGGAGTTCTGCACGCTTTACACACAGTCAGGCATCAAAGAGTAACTGACTAATACCGCAGCCCACCAGTCCATGTGCTTTTTCCCTTTCCCAACCCCTTTTTAATAGGTTGCTCCCATGGAATGTTACTGCTTATGCTGAGGGTGGGTTTCTCTGTTTCTTTGTATTCCATAATAATATGGATGCAAAAAAATGTAAAATACAGATCATAGGAAAATCTGCTTTTATATTTATAGTACTAAGGCTTCTATAAAGCATTTACATGTTCATGTGTATATTATATTCATACATATATACAATATGTACAGTTACAGGAAATAAACTGAAACTAACAGTCATGCATACTCCCACTACCAAGACACAGAACTTTACCAAGATTCCTATTCTATTCTGTACCCTCCCAAAGCTCAGCTCTTCTTTCCCCCTGACTGTCGAACTTCCTTCTTGAATCCAACGTTGTCTTATATGTGCCACTAAGGTTAACCTATCATTGGACTTTAAAACAATTCTTTAGTCTTACCTTTGAAATTTAGATGCATGAGATGATGCTTTGTAGACAAGTGTTGATTATAACACTTGGTCACATGTATGTGCACTTCGCACAAAGATGATTCATTTTGTAGAATTTTGTATCAGCATTTGTTTGATTCTCCGAGGGCTAGAAATATTAGTTGCTTATAGTTTTGCTATTATGAATAGTGCAACTTCAATTTTTTGTACTAATTTCCAGTTATGTTTATTATAGAGACCAAAAATTATACATATAGAAATGGAATTACTAGCTATGAGGTCCTAATCATCAAGTTATCTTTAAGTAATGAAGTATGAGCAAATATTTTCAAAATGATTGTGATAGTTGGGCCAAAAGCAATTCATGAGCGTTCCTTTTCTGCCACCTGCTGGTCATTGTCAGATTCAAATCTGTCAGACAGTTGACCACTTGACTGCATAAGAGTAGTTACTGGTCTCTATGTTTTTTTCTCCTTATTACAAATGCACTTTGTAATAAGGATATGTGAATATAGTTTCACATAGTTATGGAAATTTTGAACATAGAAATTTAGAATTAGATTATGTTTAATTTGTAGATTAGTTTAAAGAGAAATAGTTGGTGACTCTTTTAAACTATTATATCATTTTATAATATTCATGTAGTCTGTGAAATAAGATCTTTAAATTCTTTAAATAACATTTAAAAGGTTTTCTTTTTGTATATTTCTTCTCAAACCTATGTCTATAAACTTCTGTGTCTTTTATTTGAATGTGGTACATAGTATCTTTCAGACTGCACTCTCTGATGCTTGAAGTATAATTTTTATATCATTGGTATTGTAATGATATATTCATACGGTACTTTGAATTTTCTTGATAGACAGTTATGGCATATGTCACTAATGGTAGTTTTTCATTCACGGTCATTTATACCTTTATCTAGCTTTCCTGGGCTGCTGAGACATTCAAGTGCAGTGCGTCTTTGAATGCAGGTAGTGATAGCAAGTATGTTGTTTGGTTCTCGACAAACCTCCTAAGCATTTCACCTCTAAGTATGTAGTTATAAGTACATAATTTGAAAATAGTGTATTGTTTTCTTTTATAGTATGAATTAATGCCAACTTACATTATTCTTATTGTTATTTATTATTGCTATTATTATTAATCACCATCATAATAATCATCATTATCGTTATTATTATTTTTTTCTACTTCTAGTTCATTGATGGCCAAGTCTACACCTAATGAGCTTCATGAATCCTGGGGGTTTGGGTAGAACTTTCT